ATCCTGCTTGATAGCACATTTTTTACAATAAATTTCATTTCCATACCTCCCTCATCCATTTACTTTCCAGTAGCCACTGGTTTTGGCAACTTCTTTTCCCTCCGGGATTTTTTTATAACAGTTAGAGCATAACATAATTTTATACTTAGCATTAATTTAATTTTTTTTATAATTTTCTTTCATAGAATGTTGAAAAGATTACAAACAGAACGATAAATAAAAAAACACTAATAAAAAGAACAATAAATATTCTTTGCAACCTTTTTTCTTGTCTAGCTTCCTTTTTCGCACATTGAACACAAAATACCCCACTCCTTCCCGCTTCACCTCCTCATCATCCCGTTCGTCAATGAATGCCGCCGCCGCCTCTTTTAACTTCTTCTCCTTCTGGTATTTTTCTATAACATTTGCTACACAACATATTTTTAAAAATATTTTAAAGAGAATTAAGTGGGATTGATGTAATAGGTAGACATGCAAGAATGAGGTTCTTGTGCCACAAGCGTGAGGGTTCGAATCCCTTATCCCACACCATAAAAAGACTATAAATGTAATAAATAAAAGAATAATTTTAAAACTAAACCAAAAGGTAAATTTGCTAAAATTATAATATAGATGATAAAGATAATCGAAAATATGGGGATGCGAGTTTTGACTTAGGTTGAGGTTCGGTGATTATGGCAATAAACCTGTTTTGAAAAAAATCAAGACAAAAACAATACACACAATATTCCAGTAGAATTGTTGAATAACAACTACGGATACAACTACGCAAGAATATAATTCTTAACTAGTTCTTATCGGTTCGCTCAATTCGGACTGGTTCGTAATAAAATTTGGGTCAATTATTAAAGTTTGCTTATTCACTTGTTAATTGTCTATTCAAAAAAATACCCTACCTATTGAAACATATTCGTTTATTAGTATTCATTAGGGAAATTCAATAATAAACTAAGTTGTAGAAGTAATCACAAGCCATCTAAGGACATGGGTTCAATCCCATCATCTCCACCATTATATATATAAAAATTAGTTTAATATGAATGGTAATTTGCGTTGATACTTACTTAAGATAAATTAGAAGTAGAGGCAAATGGAGATAGGTTATAAGATGATAGTGATAGTGGAAGTTATAGATATTACAATACAATAAGACTATTTTACCATCCCAAAGTGGTGCAACCAGATGAAAGATACTGTAAAATAGGTGATGAGTAGTATATTACTGATAGATAATAGAGAAACACTTAATACTATATAGATAAAGAGGGGGGATTTTTTAAAGGGGGAAACTATAAAGATTATAAATGAATAAAGGCAGAGTAGTAATGAATGAATAATTGAATATAATGATGGGAGTAAGTTTACTAATCAGGTGAATAATATTTCTGAATTACAAGCAGTTAAAAGTTATCTTCAAGCCCTTGGTAAAGATTCTCTTTCTGCTTCAGAATTAAATATTAGTTCTAACCAAGCAATAATCTTTCTCTGAATGATTTTTCTTTTCAAAAGCAAGGATTTTATTTAATTAATGGTCTTGATAAACTATCTTGGGAATCTTTTCCCTATAATGGTCAGGCTAGCCGAGACTTTTTCTGTAAATGAGTTAATTCGAATGATAAAATTTGCATTATTCCTGCTAATTTCTAATTAATTTTTCTTCATTTTTAGTTAAAATCTAGTTATAATTAACATAAAAGTTTACTAAAATTTAGATAAAGAATGAATAATTTAAATCCCATTCCAAAAATTTTATTAGGTTTAGAAGTCCATATTACAGTTAATAGTCAAAAAAAAATCTTTAATTGAGAAAATACTTATCAAGGAGATATTCCTCCTAATAGCCAAGTTGGATCCTGAGAACTGGGTTATTTAGGAGTTTTACCAATCATTAATCCCGAAGTTATTTGTTTAGGACTAAAATTAGCTTCTGCTTTGGAAATGAAAATTAATAAAACTATCCTTTTTGACCGCAAAATTTATAATTATTTCGATTTACCAAAAGGTTACCAAATTACTCAACAAGAACTTCCTTTTGCTAATTCAGGCTTTTTACCAATAATTAAAGAAAGCGGAGTTGAAAGGATACCAATTAAAACTTTACAATTGGAAGAAGACACTGCCAAAAGTGCCTATTCAAAAGAGGGAATTAAATTAGACTTTAACCGGGCTGGCAATCCTTTAATTGAGTTAGTTACCGAGCCAGTTTTCCACCATGTAGAAACTGTTTTAGTATTTATTAAACAATTACAGTGTCTTTTACGATATTTAGAGGTTTCCGAAGCCAAAATGGAAAAGGGTCAATTAAGAGTGGATTTAAATTTTTCTTTGCAATTAGGGAACAAATATTCTACTCCTCGTTATGAAATTAAAAACCTTAACTCTTTGGCGAATATTGAAAAGGCTTTAAAACACGAGGTTAACAAGCACCAGTTATTATTTTTGCAAGGACAAGAACCTCCAATTAGTCAAACGCTTGGATTTGACGAGGCACAACAAATTACTATCGCCCACCGAGAAAAAACCAATTACTATTATTTACCGGAAGTTAATATTCCCCCCATTAAATTAAAAGTTGGAGAAATCAATAAAATTAAAAAGAGTTTGCCAAAATTACCTTGATGCTACTGAGAAGAATTAAAAGCAACGGACTTGGAAACGGCTGACAAAATTCTCAAAAACCCTCCTTTGTTGAAAATTTTTAATTTTTTAGAAAAGAAAAAATTTTTAATGAAAGAGGAATATAAAAGTTGACTAACTTTTTATCTTAATTATTTAACTCCTTATTTTGGGGATGGAAATATCAATTTATTTAGTAAAAAATGGAAATCTTATTGTGAAGTATTTCGCTCCCGAAAAGAAA